GTTTTCCGAGAAGCAAACAATATTCCCAGATGTATTTTGGCATTGCCAGCCACCGAAACCTTCGATTTTAACATGTATTGAGTGCACATAGTCTTTGTGAGGCAACACCATATTTCCGGAGGTATTTCGGCACAACCAACCGATGAAATCTTCGGTTTTAATATGTAATGAATGCACATATTTTCTGGGAGGCGACACGGTATTCCTTGAGGTACTTCGGCACTACAAGCCGACGAAATCTTCGGTTTTAACATGTGTTGAGTACACATATTCTTTCAGAGGCCGCACAATATTTCTGGAGGTACTTCGGCACTACAAGCCAACGACATCTTCGGCTTTGATATCTATTGACTACACATAGTCTTTGGGAGGCAACACAATATTTCCGGAGATATTTCGGCACTACCAGCCCATGAAATCTTCTTTTTAACATGTGTTGTGCACATATTCTCGGAGAGGCAACCCAATATTTCCGGAGGTACTTCGGCACTACGAGCCGAGGAAATCTTCGGTTTTAACATGTGTTGAGTGCACATATTCTTTGCAAGGCAACACAATATTTCCAGAGGGATTTCGGCACTACAAGCCGACGAACTCTTCAATTTTAACATGTGTTGAGTGCACATATTCTTTGAGAGGCCGCACAATATTTCTGGAGGTACTTCGGCACTATGAGCTGACGAAATCCTCCGTTTTAACATGTGCTGAGTGCACATATTCTTTGCAAGGCAACACAATATTCCCGGAGGTATTTCGTCACTACGAGCCGACGAAATCTTCGGTTTTAACTTGTATTGAATGCACATATTCTCAGTGGTAACACAATATTTCCGGAGGTACTTCGGCACTACCAGCTGAAGAAATCCTCGGTGTTAATATCTATTGAGTGCACATAGTCTTTGGGAGGCAACACAATATTTCCAGAGGGATTTCGGCACTACAAGCCGACGAAATCTTCGGTTTTAGCATGTGTTGAGTGCACATATTCTTTGAGAGGCCACACAATATTTCTGGAGGTACTTCGGCACTATGAGCTGACGAAATCTTCGGTTTTAACATGTGTTGAGTGCACATATTCTTTGAGAGGCAACACCACATTTCCGCAGTACTTCGGCACAACCAGTGGATGAATCCTCGGTCTTAATATCTATTGAGTGCACATAGTCTTTGGGAGCAACACAA